GACACTTTACCGGTCTTTACCCGAAATGAACCAACTTAAATATAGCGCGGGACAAGGGCGTAGCCAGGGTTTTATTTCAGGGGGTAAGGAGAAAGGTTTAAACTCTAAATCCCCCTTGGCTACGCTCATGGAATTTTGTGATTGTCGTTTGCATTATTTTTTTTTATTAAAGAGGGGGGGGGGGGGTTACCTCAAAAAAAACCTGGAGGGGGATTTTAAACTCAAAACCCCCCTTGGTTGCACTGGGCAAGTGACTAAGTGATTAAAGTTTGTTTCTTTTTGCCTTGTCTTTCGGTGTGATATAATTGAAAGTTTCTTTGAACAAAAGTGAAGAGTGCAGTCATCTTGGTCAATGTATTTACGTTTTGCGGTCGTTGTTAGCGCTTGATAAAATAGCATGTTAAACACGTCAACCAGTTTACGATGGCAGAAGGTATAAGAAAGTTCTTCAATGCCCTCGTCTGAGTCAAAACGTTGATTCGGATCAAGGAAGCACTTGCAGCCTCAAGAAACCAAAAACATGAAACTGCCTATGCAGAGTCTGCTGGTTCTGAAGTCATTGCTGCAACTGTGAAAAACTGCAGATATCTCAGGGCGTTCGGTTTGTTGATTGCAATTGTATTCGAGAAGACTTCATTGGTTTTGTCCCTGTTGTTAGAGAGACGTCTGTGTCAGACATTATTGTCAGCGAGTACGGCCTAGATATGGACAAACTACTGAGCCAAGGCTACGATGGCTTCTCCGTGATGGCAAGCATTCAGAACTGTGTTTAGGCAAAGATTCGTGAAAAAATGTCTAAAAAGCAGCCTTTGTCCTTCGCGCGTCTCACAGACTTAACCTTGTTTTCAATAACAATTTTATTCGCTCTTTTTAATATGCTATCTGCTGGCCGACAAACTTGGTATTGAATTGGTGCTGCCGAGAATTTACTGTCGACAAACACACCTAGCAAATAACACGTTAGGATTTAAGAGTTATTACAGAACATGGCTTGATATTCCGTATCTTGATTGGTTAGTTTCTTCATTAACTTCTCGCTTTTCGAGCTCAATTCAACTTAATTTGTCTTCATCCTAAAACGATGCACGAGCTGCAACGTGGAGAAGAATGTCAACACTGTGTAAGATTAGCGTTCATCGCCGGCTTGTCCATCGCGACAAGAAGCGAATCATCAGTTGACAGTTTCGGGGAAGCTCGAGCCGCACGGATAAACTGAACATGGAGCACAGTAAATAGTTTCTTACTTGTCTTATTAATAGTTCATGAAACATTTACAGTGCTCTTAATATCGCATAGGAAATTGGTGGCGGTGGGGTGGCCACAATTTTTGTTTTCTAACCGTCCATCCCATTTAGATCTCACAGACTAGAAAACATCTTGAACATCTGATAGCATGGTAGTTTAGATTTGTCAAAGTTCATAACATTACACCATGGAACTATACTAAAGGAACGCCGACTTCAAAACAGGTCTTTGCACATCCTGCACTTTGTTTAAAAAAATACAGAAACGAAGAAGGATTTTACGCATCTGACGCGTGCGATTTACCCGTGTTGATTAGAAAATGTTTTTTTAGCTCTTTATAAACAGATTCTTAAAAACTTCATCCATTTTCACAATCTGCTTTGGTAGATCTGGTTCATTTTTATGTGCTACTTGTAGATGAGCCTACCGTTCCGCATTAAGCGGAACTGTCCCGCTAAAACATTAAAAAATTAATTAAAACTCACAAGTTACGCCGTTCCTCAGTGGCACTTTTATTTTGTTCGCAAAGTCCCGAATTCTGACAAAATAAATCGTCATTATTTTTTTATTAGTGTAAAAAGAAAATATTGACTACAAAATTCATTTATTGCATACATTTCGTCTTATTGTGGCCTACATTTGGTTAAGCTAAGCGCAAATGCTTCGTTTATTCAATAAAAGGGTCATGTATAATTATGCCAAAACATTTTCCCGATATGTCTCTAACACATTGATTTCTAAGAAAAGAATAGAATTTAATAAGGACAAGGATTCTAGATTATGTCTAAATTCTAGTAAAGACTTATCCAGATCAACTGCCTATATATTTGACCTTCTAGGTATAGTTCCATGATTACACCTATTTTTTTAACTATTCACTTTTAATAGTAACAAAAAAACAAAACAACAACAACAAAAAAAAAAAACAACAGGGGAAACTTTATTAACGAAGTAATTATCTTATATATTTTTTAAAAAATGTAAGCAAACGTTTTTTTTTTTTTTCAAATAATGTTATAAAAAATATGTGTATTATTCAATTAATTATTTTCTGTTCTACAAGCTACTTATATTAGTATGCATACAAGTCGAATATAATTTTAAACAACATTTAAAAACCAGTGTTTCATAAATATAAGTACAATTTGACATTTAAACAACTGGAAATAATACACATCTTCGTGACCATGAATAAGAGATTAGCCATTTACAAAACCATCAATTATAGATAATGATTCAATAACCTGTTAGACCAGGTTCACATTGAAACAATAGTGTTCGTTGAATACATATGAATATTAAAAATGTAATACCGGTAATTACATTTAGGAGTGTCTGTGCTATCATATCAGTCAAGACTAACAATTGAACACTAATAACTGTTAATTACATTTAGGAGTCTCTGTGGTATCATCTCATTAGTCAAAACTAATAATTGAACACTAATAACCAGTAAGTAAATTTAGGAGTCTCTGTGGTATCATCTCATTCAGTCAAGACTAAATTGAACACTAATAACTGGTAATTACATTTATGAGTCTCTGTAGTGTCATCTCATCAGTCAAAGCTAATAATTGGACACTAATAACCGGTAATTACATTTAGGAGTCTCTGTGGTATCATCTCATCAGTCAAGACTAACAATTGAACACTAATAACCGGTAATTATATTTAGAAGTGTCTCTGTGGTATCATCTCATCAGTCAAGACTACCAATTGAACACTAATAACTGTTAATTACATTTAGGCGAGTCTCTGTGGTATCATCTCATCAGTCAAAACTAATAATTGAACACTAATGTGAGCAGGTCAGGCAGGCGCGAGTGGGAGATACCTATTCTTACTGCTCAACACTAAAATTTACCAACAGCAGGCAGATGTTAGCGCTACTGGGTGGGCTCAATCTGTGCACCTCGGTATGATGACCAAGGGGCTAGAGTTGCCTAAGTAACCAGACAACTAGCTATAACTAACCTAAACTAATGGAAAGCAAGATAACGAAACTTTAGTTAGGATAAATAGACAAATGAAACTTTTTTTACATATGCAAAAATAAATCAATAATAAAATATAATATATACACTAACTTAACTAACCACCACTACTGAACCCATCAACTAACTAAAACCCTCTAAATCTACACCACTACAAACACTAACAATCTAACCAACTATCTAACTAAATCACTACAATTACTAGCCTAGACCTAGATCTACACAAACTCACTACAATAAACTAGTCTAGATCTACAATATCCTACTACTACAACCAACTCATAACTATAACCAAAACAAGAACATCTTAGCCTTAGTACCTTACTTAAGAACAGAAACAGACTATAACAGTATAACTAAGCCACTAAGTCTTGACTGACTTGACTAAGGCAATACTAAACTAGATCTAGTACAGAAACAAAATAAATCTATAACAGCAGTGTAATTGCAGCAGCTAAAAGCAGTTTAAAACAGCAGTAACAATAGCCTGCAATACATAAAATCATATATTCTATTAGATCTAGAAAAGCAGGACTGATGGATGCCGCCATCTTTAAATCACATGCTTAAAACATAAACTGCCAACTAGAAAATAAAACTAAAAATATATCTAGCATATTTACATACAGTGTGCCTTAGATCTAGTAAAAGAAAATATAAAATAGTTATACACTTACAGGCCGTCCCAGATACAGAAATATAAAATAATTACACGACAGACCACAAAGAACTTCGGCTGTCACACAGCCATACTATACTGACCACTGGTCAACTGTACACTGAACTGTTTTAAGACAGCATGTAGTACATCACTTTTTATACACCCCACCCTAACCTACACAAAAAGCGGAAGTACAAATAATAAATTTGGCACTAGCCTATAAAAAATAGAATACACAAAAATATAGCTCTGGGAGCGCACACTAATAACCGGTAATTACATTCAGAAGTGTCTCTGTGGTATCATCTCATCAGTCAAAACTAATAATTGAACACTAATAACCAGTAAGTACATTTAGGAGTCTCTGTGGTATCATCTCATTCAGTCAAGACTAACAATTGAACACTAATAACCGGTAATTACGTTTAGGAGTCTCTGTGGTATCATCTTATCAGTCAAAACTAATAATTGAACATTTATAACCGGTAATTACATTTAGGAGTGTCTTTGTGGTATCATCTCATCAGTCAAGACTAACAATTGAACACTAATAACCAGTAATTACATTTACGAGTGTCTCTGTGGTATCATCTCATCAGTCAAGACTACCAATTGAACACTAATAACCAGTAATTACATTTAGGAGTGTCTCTGTGGTATCATCTCATCAGTCAAGACTACCAATTGAACACTAATAACCAGTAATTACAATTAGGAGTGTCTCTGTGGTATCATCTCATCAGTCAAGACTAACAATTGAACACTAATATTAGTAACACTTTATACACGTCTCTTCCTTTAGTATTGCAGGAGATCGGAATTTGGTTGATAGTTTGCAGTTCACAGCTTCTGATATTCATGCTGAAAATATTGAAACCTGCAGGAGTGGATTACTTTAGTGGGCCAATTCTGAGTTTGTGTTTCCACACAAACTATCTTTGTAACCTTGTTTTTATTAAACTTAATAATTGTAAAATTCACTTTTTTCCTTCTCCCTTTTCCTGTTAATAAACAAAGGATGGAAACCATAAATTGATTCTATTGGTTTACAATTAATAAAAGACAAAATTTAAATAAAAAAAAAACTAAATGAAAAAGATTTGCATATAAAAAATATTTATTAAAAAAGTATAGTTACAGTGTTTTATTTTTGAGTATATATTTTCTAGAACATATTTACAAAGTACTGCTATATATTTATATAATATGGTTCACTTAAAAAACTCACAATTTAAATGAATTAAATACAAATACAAGTATTTCACTATAAGGTTTGGAAATGAAGGTACCACACAGTATACTAAAAAGTATTATGTCTTCTAAGGAGAACTGCACTTAAGTTTGTGCATCATTTGTAGTTTAAGCTTGATTGAACCTTTCATTGGTAGCTTTAGCTATGTTGAACCTTTCATTGGTAGCTTTAGCTAAACTGAACCTTTATTGGTAACTAGCTATAGCTAGACTAAACTTTCATTGGTAGCTCCAGCAGGACATCATGTTAGTATTGAGCTGTCTACATGTAGTGGGAAAACAATGAATTTGACATTTTTCTAGAGCCAGAGTCAAATCAATCCAAAGTGTATCAGTCCCAATTATTTCTTAGTCCACTCAAGTCTATAGTAGTTGAAGAACCAGAACTTCATTCCATTGAGCACTTCTCAAGATATTTTTACATGATTCAAATAGTTTCCATATCAAAGTTTAAGGCACAGGTGAATCAACCATTCCAAAAATATCACTGTTTATTATATCACTATTTATTACAATCAGTAAGTTGCAATTATGCACATGAAATTTCAAGTATTGGTATTTTGACAAATGTTTACAACAATGATTTAAAATACATTCTAAATGGTAAAAAAAATCAATTTCCTCAGAAGGTTGAACAAAGCTGTGTCTTACAAAGGATATTTGCTGGAAAATGCTGAAAATTTTATAAATAGACCCAAGACAAATTAAGATGTGTTTAAGAATGTGTTTATAATTTTAAAGCATTAAAAGAGCAAGATAATTTATATTAGATGTAACAAACTCCAGCAACCTTCCAAAAATGACCTAGGCTCATGAAGAAACTAAACAAAAAAAAACTGAATGAGATCTGACATTTCCATTAGTTGGGGGCCTGTCACTTTGTTCATGAAACTTTTCTCTTTTGTTTATATTGGGACTAAAATGTGACTTGTACTTTTAGAACAAACCTTTTTTTCTATAACAGTATTCTATAACAAGAACAGTATTCTATAACTAGAACAGTATTCTATAACATCTCGTAGCACTACTTAATACGTCTAGAACAGTATCCTTCTTTAACATCTCATAGTCTAAGAGCTGCCCATTTCATGTTATTGAATGAATAATGTTGTCTTCAAACAAAAAGAATTAGAAGAGCATACTTAGTACATTTGTTCCTAATCTGACTCGACTACTCACCTTATTTATGCAAGATTTGTTGATGATTTTCAAAATAATAAGGACTAGAGAAAGCATTATTTGAAATATTTTTTTAAAACTGAAATACTCACTGCAGCCATTTCCAAAGCCTGACATTTCAAGTTCTAGCAGTTCAAGCCTGTAGAAAATTACTTTTATTTGTAGTATCTAATATCTATCAATAAATATACTTAGCTTTTGTCTTTTAAAAAAAGAATAGTTTGATACTGGATTATAGTTTTGTTTGTTGTCTTGATTTCTTTGACATTCACACATTCAGATGTAGAAAGAAACTAACAATATGTTTATTCATAAAAACAAACAAAGGATTTGCATAAATAACAAGATACATGATAGGTACAATGTTTTTCTTTTAATTGTGACATGGAACTTAAATTCTCTACATGGTTTGTATGACTGAATTACTCAGTAAGTCCACACCAATGAGTTACTGACATGAGCTTGCTTCCATACATTACATTTGAAATGCAGTATTTACAATGAACAAAATTTACATGTTTGAACAGTTTTATAACTGTGTTACTAAATTGGATGTATGCTGCCGGTAGTTTGATGTACTCTGAGTGCCTCTAGGAGAAACACTGCTTCCTGACCTTGGACTGTGATGATAAGAATGACCTTGAGACTGAAGAAAACCAAAGAATAAAAATACAGCAGTAAATGACATTCAAACATAAAACACAATAAAAATACAGGATAAAATGACACTCAAATATATGAGAATAAAAATACAACACTAAATGACACTCAAAAAATTGAACACACTAGAAAGGGAAGAAAGAAAATGAAAGAAATGAATTTTAACCCACTTTTTAACCCACTAACTCTGATGTCCAATTGGAAAAATCCTCAATATACCTCAATAATGCTAATGGTGTAGCATCAACGGCACATTGGTTATAGCATTTACAATGCCTGACATTTCAAGTTCTAGCAGTTCAAGCCTGTAGAAAATTACTTTTATTTGTAGTATCTAATATCTATCAATAAATATACTTAGCTTTTGTCTTTTAAAAAAAGAATAGTTTGATACTGGATACAGGCAATCTATATGACTGAAATTTAGCAACACGAGCATAGAAAAGTGTCAAGAACAATTGTTTATTTTTAAATATCCTAAAGAAGTTGCTAAGTTTTAAAACAGAAATAAATTTTGCTATTTACAGGAAAATGTAAAAATAGCCAAAGTCTTGGAGCCACATTTCATTCAAATAATGGAGAAAAAAAAAAGACACTTTTACAAATCAATGTATAATTTTTGTCATGTTTCAGTCAGTCATTTTCAGTGAAGCACTGTTGAAAACCCAAGAAGAACAATTATAAAGAAATAAATGCTTCTAGAGTTTTAAAAAATAATCCATTATAAGACTTGTTTTTTTTTTCGTCTAGTGACTTTTGTTTACCTGAACATTATAGAAATTATTGTATGTATTCTGCATTCTTTGGGAACTAGGACTGTTGTATTTGAGCTGAAGACTATCTTTGCTATTTCTTTCCTCAGTAAACTGATGGTATGCTGAAGAATGTCTCTGATTGTTATTAGGCCTGCTAGGAGAACATCAAAACTAGTTAATTGGTGAAATTTAACAAATGAACTAACTAAATGGTTTACTAAATTTACTAAAACTAGATTTAAATTTTTTACTTAAAGCCAAAACGTACTTTGGTTTATGCAACAGGTTTTTTTAAATTTCAAATTTTGCTCTACTGCTTTTGTAGATTCAAAAACTAATAAATTCAAATAAAAAAAAATTGATGGCAAAAATTTAAACAAACAAATAACAAGAATGTAAACAAACATGTATTGAGAGTATAAATGAACATGCCATGAGAGTATAAGCTAATATGTACAAATATTGTAAACAAACATGCAATGACAGGGTAAACAAACATGCAATGACAGGGTAAACAAACATGCAATGACAGGGTAAACAAACATGCAATGATAGGGTAAACAAACATGCAATGACAGGGTAAACAAACATGCAATGACAGGGTAGGCACACATGCAATGACAGGGTTGACAAACATGCAATAAGAGTGTAGACAAACATGTAATGACAGGGTAAACAAACATGTAATGACAGGGTAAACAAACATGTAATGAGAGTGTAGATAAACATGTAATGACAGGGTAAACAAACATGTAATGTCAGGGTAAACAAAATGTAAAGACAGGGTAAACAAACATGTAAAGACAGAGTAAACAAACATGTAAAGACAGGGTAAACAAACATGTAATGACAGGGTCAACAAACATAAAATGACAGGGTAAACAAACATAAAATGACAGGGTAAACAAACATGCAATGACAGGGTAAACAAACATGTAATGAGAGTGTAGACAAACATGCAATGACATGATAAACAACCATGCAATGACAGGGTAAAAAAATGTAATGACAGGGTAAACAAAATCTGTTGACATGGTAAACGAACATGCGATGGCATGGTAAACAAACATGTAAAGACAGGGTAAACAAACATGCGATGGCATGGTAAACAAACATGCAATGGCATGGTAAACAAACATGTAATGTGAGTGTAGACAGACATGTAATGAGAGTGTAGACAATGTGCAATGACAGGGTAAACAAACGTGTAATGACAGGGTAAACAAACATGCAATGGCATGGTAAACAAACATGTAATGAGAGTGTAGACAAACATGTAATGAGAGTGTAGACAAACATGTAATGACAGGGTAAACAAACATGCAATGACAGGGTAAACAAACATGTAATGACAGGGTAAACAAACATGTAATGGCAGGGTAAACAAACATGCAATGAGAGTGTAGACAAACATGCAATGACAAGGTAAACAAACATGTAATGACAGGGTAAACAAAGTTCAAACATGTAATGAGAGTGTAGACAAACATGTAATGGCAGGGTAAACAAACATGTAATGACAGGGTAAACAAATATGCAATGAGAGTGTAGACAAACATGTAATGAGAATGTATACAAGAGCAAAAAGATGATGCTGTTTAGACATCTTGTGATTTTTTCTATAAATCTTTTTAAAAAAATTAAGTAGTAAACAAATGTCTCAAATCTTGCCAACTAAGTGAAGTGGTAATTGAAGATCATGCGATTATCATGACATGATGAAACAAGTTCACTAAAAAGAGCCTATACATGGAGGCCGAAACAAGGAATACAAAAGGTCCCTATCTGACACGGAGCCACTAATTCCTAGAAGACTAAAAATCCTTAAGCACTAGCTGGGAAGAAACTGTGGATGTCACTTGTAACCAATCTTTCTGGAGACAGCTTTCTGCTTTAGATGTCAATGGTGTAGGAGGAATTTAAATCTAAGTCTCTCAAAGATGAAACAAAATGACCACCTACCAAACAACACATACAGAGTTTAAGTAGCTGTTTTAAACATGTCAGGAAACATTAAACAAGACAAACTTACCTAGAAGAGCCTTTAGTCAGAGTAGAAGCATCATCTGGCAAAGTTTCTCGATAATAAGGTGAATGATTTCTGGAATCTCTTATGCTTCCAATCAAGTCTTTTTTTGAATGGGACTGAATTGATTGATGATGGAATTCTGTAGATGTGGAGTGCTTATAATTGCTGCCCACATAACTATTTTTGTTGCTGAAGTCAGATCCTGTGTTAGACTTAGAATTTTGCATATTATGTGCAGTGTAGCTCAATTCTTCTCTATAAGATAGTCTATTAGAGTCACTTGTATTTACTTTTGGTGTTTCTCTGAGTTGCTGGTGTGTGCTATAATGTTTAGAATGAGAATATTTAGGATTTGTATTAAGTGAATAGTTCCTGTATCCATCTGATTCACTCACATTGCTAACTTCATTCCAATTTGTTTGAGATTGTGAAGAATTGTGTTGCTTTTCATTGTACCTTTTGTTTTCATTATAAAGAGAATTCTTAGGATGTGATGAATTCAATTCACTTAATAGATTAG